AAGCGCAAACCACACCACCGCGAACTCCCGCACCGTGCTGTGGACCCGATGGAAGGACAGACCCCACCGCCCCTGGCCGGCCTAGTGATCACTAGTCACAAAACCCCAGCCGAGAGACGACGCATCCGTGAACACATCGAGCGAGGGCTCGGGCAGGCGCCAAGGCACTGAACCCCGAAAAACCCGAAGAGGAAGCCGGCGATGCAGCAGCCGACACAAAGCCCCCGGGGGTCGAACCCAGCGATTGTGAGAGAGGCGGAAGGGACGTCCCCGACAGAACCAGAATAGCCAACGAGGGCAAACCCGACCCGGCGGGTAGATCAAAATCGCGAAGTTCAGGCTCCCGCACAAACCCTTGAGCAACTGCTGGGTGACCCAGGAGCCCCCCAGAAACAGACACGGGCTAGACCGCAGCCGAAGGAGAGACTCCGGAGGAAGAGACAAGGAAGCGGTCCGAGAGTCCCACACAAGACCCAGCCAGGACCGAACCTGGGAGGGTACCAGATGGGACTTCTGCCAGTTCACCAGGAACCCGAACCCGGCGAGCTGAGAAAGCACCAAATCCCTGGCGAGATATAAAAAACCGCGAAAAACTGCCGACCGGAGGGCGAGAGGGATGCCAGGGAGCCTCCGGGACTCACCCAGAAAATGGCGTTTCATTACATTCAACGCTAGTTTTCTTGGGGAAGACCCTACGGCTCCCCGGAGCTACCTCACCAAAGAAATCCCAAGAAAACCAGGAGGACTTACCCGGGAGGTGGTCGGTGCTCCACTCCTCAACGCGACGACAAGACAACGGGCTGCATCAGCCGACCTAAAGCAACACAGGCCCGGCTGAGCCCAGGAACGTTCATCAGGTAGAGTGCAGCCAGGACCCTGTTCGACTGCCAAAATCTGACCCAAATGTCAGCCCAAGACATATTGCCGAAGACGGCAGCAAGAGCAGCAAACTTACGAACGTCATAAGTGGGTACGTGGGTAGACCGCAGACTGGCTGTATTTAATAACTCTGCGGACGACCTGAGAGACCCGAACCCGCGAACAGGGAAGAAGGGAAACCAGATCAACCCAAAGCGCGTCCCCGGACACAGAAGCCGTGGCGCGCAGATAACGGCAGGGGGCCGCAACCCGACACAACACATGGTGAACCCCCGACCTGACAAACCAAGTATCCACAACCCAAGGACCCCTCCGGAAAGCAGCAGTCTCATTCTTCGCCAGAAAAGAGGGAGACGGCTGCAAACGAACAAACCGAATACCACGACCAAAGGAGAAAAACCTCTGCGTCGGAGAGGAGCATGAAGCTCCACCACGCATCCCCCAGAGGCTAATGCCATCAGAAAAAGAGCCTTAGCAAAACAATCTTGAACCGAAGGGGCCACAACAAACTGAGGAGAGGAAAGATAGAAGAGCACTCTGTCCAAGGACAAGGATGGCTCAGGCAGCACATGAGGCCGGAGCAGGCTACATGGGGTTCACAGCACTGCTGTTCAGCTTGTGACCACAGCATCGCGTAATAATGTGTAAAAAAAAAAAAAAAAAAAAAAAAAAAAAAAAACTGACTGACTGACTGACTGACTGACTGACTGACTGACTGACTGACTGACTGACTGACTGACTGACTGACTGACTGACTGACTGACTGACTGACTGACTGACTGACTGACTGACTGACTGACTGACTGACTGACTGACTGACTGACTGACTGACTGACTGACTGACTGACTGACTGACTGACTGACTGACTGACTGACTGACTGACTGACTGACTGACTGACTGACTGACTGACTGACTGACTGACTGACTGACTGACTGACTGACTGACTGACTGACTGACTGACTGACTGACTGACTGACTGACTGACTGACTGACTGACTGACTGACTGACTGACTGACTGACTGACTGACTGACTGACTGACTGACTGACTGACTGACTGACTGACTGACTGACTGACTGACTGACTGACTGACTGACTGACTGACTGACTGACTGACTGACTGACTGACTGACTGACTGACTGACTGACTGACTGACTGACTGACTGACTGACTGACTGACTGACTGACTGACTGACTGACTGACTGACTGACTGACTGACTGACTGACTGACTGACTGACTGACTGACTGACTGACTGACTGACTGACTGACTGACTGACTGACTGACTGACTGACTGACTGACTGACTGACTGACTGACTGACTGACTGACTGACTGACTGACTGACTGACTGACTGACTGACTGACTGACTGACTGACTGACTGACTGACTGACTGACTGACTGACTGACTGACTGACTGACTGACTGACTGACTGACTGACTGACTGACTGACTGACTGACTGACTGACTGACTGACTGACTGACTGACTGACTGACTGACTGACTGACTGACTGACTGACTGACTGACTGACTGACTGACTGACTGACTGACTGACTGACTGACTGACTGACTGACTGACTGACTGACTGACTGACTGACTGACTGACTGACTGACTGACTGACTGACTGACTGACTGACTGACTGACTGACTGACTGACTGACTGACTGACTGACTGACTGACTGACTGACTGACTGACTGGACTGACTGGACTGACTGGACTGACTGGACTGACTGGACTGACTGGACTGACTGGACTGACTGGACTGACTGGACTGACTGGACTGACTGACTGACTGACTGACTGACTGACTGACTGACTGACTGACTGACTGACTGACTGTGTGTGTGTGTATATATATATATATATATATATATATATATATATATATATATATATATATATATATATATATATATATATTTATTGTTTAATTGAGCCATGATAATATTACAAAAGAGCCCGAGTGATAATGACTGTTTACAATGTTCAAATATTGGTGATTCAATGCTGTTCACAATGTTCACAGCTCTAGCAACAGCACCACAGCATTATTTCATCCATCTAGGAATCTTCAAACGACTTCTTAGGTTCCTTTACAAAATAAACTTGTGGTCAATTATGTATTTACAGGATTTAGTGACCAGTATTATGATAACAGCAGGATTGTGGTGATAATAAGCACTGTGCGTAGTATTGTGGGAGGAGTAATTGTGGTGAGGGAGCGAGGGAGAGAATCGAGGTGGCCTCACTGTGTGGCTGCCACTCTTGTTTTGCTCATCATACTAGCTTAGTGGTTCGCTATGGTGAATACATACGTACATGGGTATATACAATGTGTGTATATACCCATGTACATATGTGCTTAGTATTGTGGGAGGAGTAATTGTGGTGAGGGAGCGAGGGAGAGAGTTGAGGAAGCCTCACCGTTTGGCAGCCACTCTTGTTATGCTTATCATACTAGCTTAGTGGTTCACTTTGGTGAACACATTTGTACATTGGTATATACAATGTGTGTATATAGTGTAGTAACAGCAACAGGAGTATGTTGGGAGGAGCTATTTTGGTGAGGAAGGTGATGTAATCGTAGTGTCATCTACTGGCTGCTGTATGGTGGCCACTGTAAAGTTTGGACACAATACCGGCTTACTTGCATAGTTCTGGTGAATAAAACATGTAGATAGGTATTCATAACATGTGTAAATAGTGTAATACAAACAATAACAGTATGGTGGGAGGAGCAATGTTGGCGAGTAAGATGTTGGAGGAGTGAGGGAGAGACTAGATGTTGGAGGAGTGAGGGTGTGGCAGCTGACACTCGCGGAGTTCTGTGTTCATGGTGAATGTATATAGTGTGTGATAGTGTATAGTGTGTAAATAGACTTTATATATACATAAATTAGCATAATACAATGGAAATATGTGCCGGATATGTGTACACACATCATGCATGTAACACAGTGTCTTCGGACAGTATGGATGTTCTACTGCCATAATATAGTGTACATGTTCATTATACATAGGATTGGCACGTAAAAGCATATAAAATGTATTTGGAACTGTGTGCAGAAAATGAACAAAAATATATTTGCGGCAACTCACGCATCCTGCACCAAGCACCCTACCAGCCCCGGGGGCGTATGCCATGGGTGACCAGGGAATGATGACGTCACGCACGAACTTACGGACCCCATAGCAGCTAGAGTACTTACAATTTCGACCTTCTGTTACTATACCCTTACTCAGGGAAGGGTTTTTTGACACTATAAAAACAGAAAAGATTTTTTCCAGAGATTTTATTTCCTGCGCACTGGGGGGAATATCATATTTGGAGGCCGCGCAGTTAAGGGATTAATGAGTGACTACGGACCTCGTCACCCGAGACGACTCGGGAGAAAAATGAATGACGACGGACAGAGGCAACGGAGTGCGATAGTGTTAATCATTTGGCTATTTTAACAATTTGTTTCCTTTGAGCCCTGCAGTTCTCTGTAAAGCTTTATTGATTTTCTAGATTCTTTTCTGAGTAAGGGTGATGACAATAGTATCCTGCTTCTTGTTCCTCTGTGAAGGGGCCAAGTTCTGGCTCTGGTCTCTGACAGGTCAAACAGAACAACCACAACTGATGTGACCCAGTAGTGGGGAGTGATCTCAGTGAGATAGCTACAGAGAGCCACTGAGGCTCTACCAGAAGGTATTTAAATAAATTAAATGGTAATTTTATTACAAATATTGTAGTGGCTAGTTTTGCTTTATGCGCCTAATATACAAGAATGAGGATTAATTAAATTGTTTGTCCTATGAATATACGGAACTAAAGTGTAAAAGTTGTGACACTAATCTTTTCTCCTAATAACATTCATCAAATGAATATACAGTATAAAATGAAAAGAATAAGTCACAATAATGTGGCTGAAAATTAATATAAAATCCACATACAGTATATGAAAAGATAAGAAAGTGGTGACATTTCAGTCCATCCTGGACTCTTATCAGGTAATATACAATATTTCAAACCAGCAGTTCAGTTACTCTGTATTTATTTTGTTCATATATGACACTAACATCTTAATATATTTTATAGTAATTTAGCCATGCATCAGGGGCTCACCAGTATAAGTGGTAATTATTTGTCCTTTGTCCTGACACCATCCTCCATGACTTTGGTAAGGAACCAGCTGCTTACTCTTGATAGTACCACGCACCTCCAAATCCCAGTTACGGTCCGGGCTGGTCATTACTGCCAAACATATTATGGCTGGAGAACTGTCTGTATCGGAAGGTGTACTGAGGGCTTGTACTGTGTCTCTCTGTGGTTTCCAATTATGCAAACCTCTGAAATACACCTTGAATTTATCAATGAAAAAGTATTGAAGTTGCATAATGAGGTTAAACCAATGAGATTGGGCCAAGCTTTATCAAGCCTAACCTTCTTTTAAATTTTGTCGTCATTTTTACATTTGATTGATTAGCCACTCAAGTGTGCCACATTATAAATAATATGACACCCTCCATGGTATACCAGATAAAAACAAGCATTCAATGTAATGAAACGTCATATTCTGTGAGAGTCCCGGAGATGAGAGAGAGAGAGAGAGGGGGGGAGGGGGGGAGACCAGGAAGTTCGATAATGAATGCCGCTTGCAGAATCTGCCTCCCCGGAAACAGCAAGGACAAAATGGAAATGGCAACGAAAACTTAAGAGCCAGGGCCCAGACAGAATCCAATGAAGTGGGCACCACTAGCTGAAATATGAGACGCGAAGTAACAGTGACACTGCATCCAGCAGGATCAGCGCAACCAGCTCCAGTAGGACAGTATGACGCACACGCTGCCGAGTAATGCACAAGGAAAACTCAGTCGGATGTGTCCTGCACCTGAATTAAAAAACACCCGCATGGAAAAGGAACTTGCATAAAAGTTCGTAACCAGGGCCATAAATCCTATCTTTCGGTCGCTGCACGCTCCACAACTCAAAACCGAGACAACTGGCTGCAACCACCGACCCAAGGCGACACAGGCTTGACTAGGCCCAGGAACGGGTACGAGACCACGAGCACCCAGGACCCCGCCCACCCGAATGTCAAACCAGGCCACGTTGCCAAAAACGGCGGCAAGAGCTGCGAACGTACAAACGTCACGAGCATGGGAATAGACTGCAGGCTGGCTAGCCGTAAGAATCCTGCGGACGACCTGGGAAACCTATACCTGCGGACTGGGAAGAAGGGTAACCGGAGCAACCCAAAATGCGTCCACGGACGCAGAAGCCGAGGTCGTGCAAAAGATGGTGGAGAACCGCCACGGGCCACAAAACACGATACACCCCCGGCCGAATCAACCATCCCTCAAAACCCAAGGACCCCTCCGGAAAACAGCAGTCTCAATCTTTACCAGGCAAGGAGGAAACGGTTGGAGACGAACAAACCTACTGCCCCGACCGAAGGAGCAGAAAACCAGAACAGGAAGGGCCACCATAAACTGAGGAGAAGCAAAACACAGCCACCTAAAAAGAGACAAAAGGAAAAGGAAGGACCGCCAAAAAACCCCACACCGCCGCCAAGAAGAAGCAAGCAGGTGGGACACCAGCAACGAAGCCATCCAACCACCAACAGAAGGTGAGACTCGAGGCAGGGCCAAACGAGCTGAGGAAGAGGCGGAGCCGCGGGAAGACCCTGGGTGCGACCATCAAGCCGACAAAGAAGGAAATGGAACGGGTGCCATACCGAAAAACATCCCAATGCCAGCGAGCCACCAGGAGGTTGGAAACTAAGACCCCGACAGACTCCAGAGAAGGGACACCACAAGACCCTGAAAACGCCAACAGGCCGGGAAAGCCAGGAACCAAAATCGAAACCTGGCAATAGGAGAGCCAAAAGGCACAAACAAAACACATATGTAGGACAAAAGGAAGCTGAGGAACGAAGAAGGTAGGCAGAAAACGGGAACGAAGGAACCGGACCAACACCAAAAGCCGCTGGACCTGTCCCAATACGTTCTCGGGAGAGATGATCCAGAGGGGACATGACAACCACAAGCAAAATCCTCAGAGGAAATGACAGTGTAGAGAAATACAAGCGAAGAAACACATGGGGAGGGAAACATGTTGAACTGAATGCCCAAATGAGCTGTAGAAAAGAGAAGCACACCAGAAGCACAAATGCAGTGTCCATAGGAGACAATAGGAATGCATGAGGAAGGGAAGTGGCGGAGACCAGCCCCACACCCAGCGACAAAAACAGAGAAGATAGCCTAGAAAGCTCAAGAACCTGTACAGAAGTCGAATGACAGGCGAGAGGCGGGACTAAGAGCCAAAGCCCAACCCCAACAAGCACTACTAGGCGAGGACAACTAGGAGAGTACAGAGAATCCAATGTACATGGAAAAGCGAAGCCTGGTACAGCAAGACTGGCAAGGAGAGAGGGACTCAGAAAATCATGGGAACAAAGAACCCAAACAAAGAAGGCCCCCAGGAAGAAGCACGGAAGGGCCTAACAAAATGCCACAACCATATCCCAACACGCAACCGCAGCACCAAAACCGCAGCAAAACGTCATCACACAACACCCCTGGACACAGGAACAAGTACCACATAACAGGCACCTCCACCTTTGTACCCTGGAACACAGTGGAGGCAGGGCCACGAAATGCAGAGGAGAAATCCAGTCCCTCTCCTCTGCAGGACATGCAGAGGAGAGGGACTGGAAGGGCATAGTCAGGAGCTGCCTCGTATGGGCCAAGAGGTCTCCTGCAGTCATCTGTGTTCTGACGTACGAAACAGGAAGCAAGGAACAAGAGCCGCCATGTACGGGCCAATAGGCTCGCTGCAGGCACCCCTGTTGTCGCTGCACGCTCCGCAACTCTAAATCAAGACTGCAGCCGACTTGGGTCGGCTGGAACCGCCGACCCAAGGCGACACAGGCCCGACCAGGCCCAGGAATGAGTATGAGACTACGAGCAACCAGGACCCTGTTCGACCGCCAAAAACCACACGCCCGAATGTCAAACCAGGCCACGTTGCCAAAAACGGCAGCAAGAGTCGCGAACGTACGAATGTCACGAGCACGGGGATAGACCGCAGGCTGGCTAGCCGTAAGAACCTTGCAGACGACCTGGGAAACCCGCACCTGCAGACAGGGAAGAAGGGAAACCGGAGCAATCCAAAACGCGTCCATGGACACAGAAGCCGAGGTGCACAAAAAACGGTGGAGAACTGCCACGGGCCATAAAACATGATGCACCCCTGGCCTAATCAACCATGCATCAAAAACCCAAGGACCCCTCTAGAAAACAGCAGTCGCAATCTTTGTCAGACAAGAAGTAGACGGCTGGAGACGAACAAACCTACCACCCTGACCAAAGGAGCAGAAAACCAGAACAGAAGGGCCCACCATAAACCGAAGAAAAGAAAGAAAGAGCACTCTGCCCAAAGACCAGGATGGCACAGGCGGCGCATGAGCAGGCCGGAGGTGAAACAACGCACGAGACAGCTTGCGGAACGGCTTAGAAGTAACATCAATACCAAACGCAAGCGAAAGCAGCTCCACCAGCGCCACATGACACGAGGCGACAAAATGTGGCAAAATGATGGCCCCGAACCTCCACAAGAGAGGAACAAGACAACACCAACAAAACACAGCCACCTAAGAAAGGTCAGAAGGAAAAGGAAGGACCGCCAAAAAACCCCCACACCGCCGCCAAGAAGCACGCAGGTGGGACACCAGCAACGAAGCCACCTGGCCACCAACAGAAGGCGGGACTCGAGGCAGAGCCGAACGAGCCGAGGAAGAGGTGGAACCCTGGGAAGACCCCAGGTGCGACCATTGAGCGGGCAGAGCTGGAAATGCGAGCCGGCAAAGGAGATGGAACGTCTGCTATACCGAAAAACATCCCAATGCCAGCGAGCCGCCAGGAGGTTGGAGACCAAGACCCCGACAGACTCCGGAGAAGGGAAACCGCGAGACTCCGGAAACGCCAACAGGTCAGGAAAGCCAGGAACCAGAATCAAAACCAGGCAGTAGGAGAGCCAAAAGGCACAAACAAAACATACAACGTGTAGGACAAAAGGAAGCTGAGGAAAGAAGGTAGGCAACAAACAGGAACGAAGGGACCGGACCAATACCAAAAGCCGCTGGACATGTCCCAATACGTCCTTGGGAGACAGAAGATCCAGAGGGGACATGACCACCACAAGCAAAATCCTCAGAGGAAACGACAGTGTAGAGAAATACAAGCCAAGGAACACATGGGGCACATGTAACGGGGGAAACATGTTGAACTGACCGCCCAAATGAGCCGTAGAAAAGAGAAGAAGCACACCATTGTCCGTAGGAGACAATAGGAATGCATGAGGAAGGTAAGTGGCGGAGGCCAACCCCACACCCAGCGTCAAGAGCAGAGAAGATAGCTTAGAAAGCTCAATAACCTGTACAGAAGTTGAATGACAGGCGAGAGGCGGGACTAAGAGCCAAAGCCCATCCCCAGCAAGCACAACTAGGCAAGGACAACTAGGGAAGTACAGAGAATCCAATGTACATGGAAAAGCGAAGCCTGCAACAGCAAGACCGGCAAGGAATGAGGGACCCAGAAAATCATGGGAACAAAGAACCCAAACAAGGAAGGCCCCAGGAAGAAGCACGGAAGGGCCGAACAAAACGCCACAACCATACCCCAACACGCAACTGCAGTACAAAAGCGCAGCAAAACGTCACCACACAACACCCCTGAACACAGGAACATGTACCACATATCAGGCACCTCCACCTTTGTACCCTGGAACACGGTGGAGGCAGGGCCCCGAAATGCAAGCATGGGTGGACATGCATAGGAGAGGGACTGGATGAGCATAGTCAGGAGCCGCCTCGTATGGGCCAAGAGGCCTCCTGCAGTCACCTGTGTTCTGACGTTCGAATCGGAAGCAAGGAGGAACAAGAGCTGCCACGTATGGGCCAATAGGCCCGCTGCAGGCACCCCTGTTTATATGCTCCATGTTCTCATGTACGAATGTACTCCCATTGGTATCCCCAAAACGAACCAGCGCCCGAACAAAGGAGACGCTAGACCGCATAAACTCACCTGCAGAACATAGGCACGGAAGGGCCACGACAATGGAACTAGGTTGGTGCTGCCGGAGGCGGCGAGGGTATCGTGCACCAGCAGCCCAGAAAAATGGGAGCACCATCTGCGGAAGCAGGCCAGAGCCGCCCATACAGGAGAAGAGGAGGGGAGAGGCGAAGGAGGCGCCCCCCACCCAAAACGCAGGGAAAACCGATAGCGGGTTTTCCTCCCCATAGCGGCACTCCAGAACACCCCCAGGAACAACGGGGCACTGACTGGAGAATGAGCAGAATGAGAGGCAAAGCACTCGAGAGAACACAGACGGAGAACACCAGCACATGTGCACATCACCCGAACCAAAACAAACGCCTACGACGCATGCGCATGACACTAAAGTAGCCCAACAGTTTGCATCCCGAGTGATTTGCTTAAGAGAAGAAACAGCCCAACGCACGGAAACAGAAGCCAAAAATGAATAAGCAATGACACACAGCCAGCTCAGTTAATGAAAACAATGAACCGAACTGGAACCCAACCGGGCTACAAGGAGCCCAACTGCACGACAAGTAGCCCAACCGGGCCACAAGCAGCCCAACCTGGCAACCCGGACCAGGAATATGGAAGGAAAACGAGCAGTGCCGAGACAGCATGGAGAGAAGATACATGAACAAAAGAACGAGACAGGGTAGAAAACCAAGAGGAAGCATGGAAGAGGACCAACAAGCCCTAGAAAGGACCGAATAGAAGCCTCATCGAAAGACGACAGACATTTCAATAATGCGGGAAGGAGCAAAAACCATCCTGAACCTTTGAGAACACAGAAGCAAGCACAAATGACGAAGGCATAGAAAGGCCCAGTCGCACCCGAGACCAAAAGTCATGCAGAACCCCAAGAAGAGGGGAACATGACGGAGAAGTCCTGTCCCAAGAAAAAGGGGTGAATAACGGAGAAGAGCACCCACCGACAGGACGGAACCAACGGGCTTAAGGGACAAGAAACCGAGCCCGGGGAGGGGCCGACGCCCAACAACTCGTGTGGAGAGTGGGGAAGGAAAAACCCCACTCCGCGCAACCGCAAGCCCCGCCCAGAGGGTAGAAAAACCCCGGCGGGGTCCAATGGGGCCTGAGGCCCCCCAAGTCAGCCCCTCCCCAGCCCCGGGAACCCACACGGCAGGCCCCGGGGCCGAGCCGTCCCCCCAAAGCCCCAGCCTCACAAGAAAAAACCGGGGCAGCCGTGAAAAGCACAAAGGAAGGGAGCCCACTGGCAGACTCATACAACACGGCTGGAGGAACAGGCTCGAATGCCCCCGTCGCTACCCTGGAAGGGGAATTCCCCGAGACCAACCGAGTCTCAAAACCATGGAAGCCCCGCCCCGACCCCGAACCCACAGACGGTAAGGACCCGGATGCAGGGAGGAGGGGGGGGGGGGACCCGACAAGACCACCAACCAAAACGGGGCAGCCTCGGGGCTTCCGGGGAGCAAACAACCTAGCGCGTTGCCACCGAAACACAACGTGCAACGCCCGTGCTGCCTGCACCCACATAGTCAGCATAAGACTGGGTAACCGAGTCACAAACAAGCAACAAAACTCGCAGGACTCAGGGCCGAAGGTGTCACCGACCCCACAGGCAGCAGACGGAGGCAAAACAGTGAGAGTCACCCTCAGACAAGGGAACAGAGCGACCCTTGAACAAAGCGAGGGGGGGGACTCCGGGGCCACATCCATCGGGCTCACGCTCTCCCTAGGGGTTTCCCAGGGTCCTGAGCGTTTACTATAAAAGGACTCGCGCTCAGGTAATCCCAGGCAGGGTACTGCTAACCGGCGCCCATGTCTACCAAACAACTTTCTAAGAACTGAACCCCCGGGACGTGTACACTCACGGGGACCTAGCAGGGGGAACCACCGGAAGAAGGAAGAGAACTCAGTACAAAGGGGGAAAGAACCAAAGGCAGACCCCCCCCACCAGGTAGACAAACAAAAAGAAAAAGAAAACCCCGCAAGAGTACAGCGTACCCAGGCGGAACAGAGCCGGCCGCTATGATTGGTGAAAACAAGCTGCGCAGTACCCTGCGCCCCTACCAGTGCAAACTGCCCCTTACCCTAAGGCGAACAAGGGAGACAGAACCCCCTATCACACAAAGGGCGGCCGAAAACCAAGCAGTAAACGGCCTAGCAGAAGCAGGACCCAAGGAACTTGTGGAAGGTAACCCCAAGCCCCAAGGGCAGTACTTACAGGGCACCTAGGGAAGGGAACCCTAGGCGCATGCAGCCCGAGTACTGGAGACTCACTCCCGGCTCATGCACCACCTAGAAGACAAACACCACACTCTAGGTGCAGTGCTGAAACAACCACTGGAGCCGGAGCACACAACCGGTACCTTTAGCATCACTCGAAGAACTGCGGTGTGGATTGCCGGTGTGGGGGTCTGGGGCTCCCCCTTCCCCCTTCTGGGGAGGGGGGAGATGTGCAGACAGTGGCGCGGTGACGTGTGATGTCATGCTAGTTTGCTCGTTTCTTTTTGGGGAGTTCTATCCACTAGTTCGGCATTAGGTAGCAATTTTAACCAGAATAGGGGTTTGTTTTGGGACGCTTACCTTTCTAGGTGCCCGACCCGGTCGATGGCAGACATAGAATGCTTCCAACCACATGGGGGTTTCTATAGGTCATTGCTTCCCTTGCCTCTCTGAGGGGGGGCCAGGTTCTGGCTCATGGTCCCCGGTAGGCCCACAGAACTCCATATACATGACTGATGCCAAAGTCTGACATTAGGATATCAGCCTGTATAGCTCCGGGGAGCCGACGGGGCTACCCCCCCAGAAAAATATTATAGACTGTGGGTTGGTTGGTGTTGTCGTCGTCGATCCTTCTCTATGGACAACCCAACCCACAACTCGGCAGAGTGCTTATACTAGGAGATCACCCTTGGCGCTTCTGGCTCTTGGAGAGGGGCTCAACGTCACACGTTTAGGGGATGCGGCTCCAACACTTAGCCTCGTTGTCACGTGCACACACCCACTCGAGCCGCTGTGACTCCCCACTCTCTCCTTATGAGATATGATCTCCTCAATCCCCTAGGACTTACTAGTATTACCTCTTACCCTGTCCACAGCAGTGGTTCTTGGCTCTTTCTCTCTCTCTCTCCTTCTTCACTACTTCCTGGGAAGCCTCACTAGGACAAGGGCAAACACCAGCAAATTGTGACACATTTACTGGACAAAGCACATACACGATACATACACACATATAATAATAATGAATCCTATACTCTATAATATCACAATCAGGTTGCACTCCAATACCATCAGAACTCTATTATCAGCTTATCCAGTGGTATCCTATCTCCTGGTTCACCACCTGATACTATTAACCTCCTCAAGTTGGTCAAGCCTACATACACTGTTGCACTATCAGCAAGATAATGTATATATAGAAAATCAGCATTTGGATGCAATAACATATATCAGTATAAATGTTCACTGATACACAACAATGATTAATCGATCACTGTCAGTCCTCATGCACATACATCTGCAGGTAATCAAGCCTACGACTGCAACTCTAAACTTCAGTATAAAAACTCCTTGACATAAGAATGCAAACAGTCACTCACCTCTCACTGCGTCTTGCACGCTACTGACAACCAAACACTATCAACTCCCTACAAGTAATCCACCAGAACTTCCCCTTCCACCTCTGGAAGTTCACAACCCTAATATCCTTAGGTTCTTCCGGGCTTCACTACCAGGATCCTCTGCAGCTCCTCCAGGCTGCTATCATGAAGTTTCCTTGAGTAACTACGGTGCTTCACCACCTCTACAGAAGCACGTGACACTCCTCTTCACTGCTGCTTCTCCTCACCGCTCGAGGTCCTCTGCTCCACTACCTTGGAGTCTCATCAGCTACATCATCTGCTGGCTTCGAAGTTCTCAGCAACTTCTTCCCCAAAAGACAAACCACAGATTAATTGGTCGAGGGCGCTTTCCCTCTGACGGCGTCTGGTCAGGGCGCTCCCACGGCCCACAATAATGCCTCCGGGCGGCTTAATATTCACTAATTATCGTCCACGACTTGAGACCACACGTCCCCAGCTCGATTCCACAGCTGGCACGTCTGCACACTTCTCTTCTCTTAGAGATATATCACTAGGGGTTCCCTTCTGACAGGAGCTCAACGGAGCGCGGCTTCCCCCTGCGATGTCTGGCACTCAAGTGAGGTCAAGGTCCTCCGGAAGCGAGCCTCACGCCTCCAGCAAAATGTCCACATCTCCTAGCCAGTCATTTATCTGTTTTCTCCTTCATTGCCCATAATCTCAAACTGTTATACATATCCAAGCAACTATTTTACATATGCGTTATCACCTCAATACTTGCTAGACCTTCTAGTTAGGTCAGGCTTGCTGAATAACTCTCAAGAAGGGAGACTCGTTTCTCCTGTAGGCTGAGATCATAACATTCATTAGTTCTTTTATTCGCTTGGTCTTTGGCCTCCACCACCACCTCATTTAGCATGTTCCAACCATCTACCACTCTGTTTGCAAAAGAAAACTTTCTAATATTTTTTTTAGTACCTTTGTTTTCTTACCTTGAATCTGTGCCCTTCTGCTCATGAAGTTGCTAATGAGTTGTTAATGTTAAAGAATGTGTAAACTGTTAAACATGTTAAATGTTTAACAAAATGTTAAAGAGCTGAGATGCATTCTCTGTTAACCATGTTTCATTAAGTATAACAAGGGAGAATTTACTGTTCACTGGTTGAATTAAGTCATCATCATCATCAACATGTTTGCTTAGAGATCTTATATTGAAGTTAATTAGTGATACATTGTGGTAATTTGAGAATCAAAATACCATTTGTTAATTCTCAATGATTCAGATATACTAGTACTCAAAATTTAGGTTCCATGATCTACCAGAAAACATTTAGTGATCCCCATGTGGGTTGCAACCCACTGGTTGGGATCTACTAATTTAAGGTTAGATCACTGTTTAATAAAACGTTTGCAACTTTCTGGCTTTTCATCCTCACTCACCTTTTGTGATGAATATGTGACACTTTTCTGGACAAGCTGGACCACTTCTTCATTGCTTTTCTTCCACCTAATAGCATCTTGACAACTTGAAAAGCCTGCTGCTCCCCAGTCTTGAGCCCCAAATTACACAGTGCTATACAATAAAGATAAAAGGAAATAATTTCAATGTAAAATGACTCATGTACTAATAAGGATATAAATATGTAAAGTTTATTAGTTTTTTGGGCCAATTCTACAAGGTTACATGTTCATAAGAGAAACAGGGACTAACAAACAAATCCTAATGTGCTCCTTCGCCAGAAGAAATGCTTACTTTAACCCTTTCAACTTGCATCATCAACTACTCTCTTAACACAAACTTCTCCTTATCTGTGACACACATACGACCACATGCTTTCCGGATGCCACTTATAAAAAAACATCGTTGAATGTAATGAAATGCCATTTTCTGGGCGAGACCCAGAGGCTCCCCGGAGCTATACCGGGCTGATGTGTATATATTAGACTGTGGCAACAGTCAATCGAAGGAGTTCTAAGCCTACCGGGGACCAGAGCCAGAACCTAGCTCCCTCAAGAGAGGCACAAGGAGCAATGGCCTAGAGACACCCCTGTGTAATTGGAAGCAGTCTTTGTCTGCCATCTACCAGGTCAGGCACCCAGAAAGGTAGGAATCTCAAAACAAACTACTGCTGGTCAAAAATTGTGAACCAAAAGCTGAACTAACAGACAGAACTCTCCAATTAAAAACTAGGAAACAAACATGACATATCTTGAGGTTATCTTGAGATGATTTCGGGGCTTTAGTGTCCCCGCGGCCCGGTCCTCGACCAGGCCTCCACCCCCAGGAAGCAGCCCGTGACAGCTGACTAACACCCAGGAACCTATTTTACTGCTAGGTAACAGGGGCATAGGGTGAAAGAAACTCTGCCCATTGTTTCTCGCCGATGCCTGGGATCGAACCCGGGACCACAGGATCACAAGTCCAGCGTGCTGTCCGCTCGGCCGATCGGCTCCCTACTACAACCACATCCACGTGGCAGTTGTGATGTGTGACATCACCACAACTGCCGCACATCCGTCTGCACAACGCCCCCTCCCCTTCCTGGAAGGTGGCTGGGGAAGTCCTAGACCTCCACGCCAGCAACTCTCCTCAGATCTGAGGCAAAGTATCAAAAACGTGAAAAACCGCCAACCGGATGTGCCTCCGGGTCTCACCCAGAAAATGGCATTTCATTACATTCAACGCTGGTTTTCTGTGGAGAGCCCCTTCGGCTCCCCGGAGCTACGTAACCAAAGATAAGAAGAAAAGGGACTCACCCGGGAGGCGGTCGTCACTCACTCCTTAACTCAAAGTCGAGACAACTGGCCGCAACCTGCGACCCAAGGTTATACACGCCCGAGAATGACTAGGAACATTAACAAGGTAAAGTGCAGCCAGGACCCAGTTTGACCTCCAATAGCCCCGTGCCCAAAAGATAGGCCAGGACACTACCAAAACAGCATCCGAATGCCGAACTTACGAACGGCGTGGGCACGGGGAAAGACTGCAGGCTGGCTGGACGAAATAATCCTGCGGACAACCTAGGAAACCCTCGACCCGACCCGGGAAGAAGGGGAAACTGGGTCAACCCAAAGCACATCCTGTGCCACAGAGGCCATAACATGCAAATAACGGCAAAGAGCCACAGACACAAAACATGATGCACACCCGGTCGAACCAACCAAGCATCCTTCTGGAAAGCAGCAGACTCATTCTTAGCCTGAAAAGAAGGAGACGGCTGCAAACGAACGAAACAACCACCAGGACCGAAAGAGCAGAAACCTCTGCATCGGAGGAGAACATGAAGCTCCACGACCCGACCCCCAGAAGCCACTGGCAACAAGAGAAGAGCCTTAGAAAAACAGTTCTGAACTGAAGGGGCTACCACAAACCCAGTAGAAGAGAGAAAGAGAGAGCACCTGGTTCAACAACCAGGATAGCCCAGGCAGTGCATGAGCAGACCAGAGGTGAAACAATGCCTGATAAAGCTTGCAGAACGGAGCAGAAGTGACATCCACACCGAATGCAAGATTGTGCGGCATGCATTATCATGTGACGCTGGAGGAGCCAGCGCTGCACTATACCAGGCAACATTTTTCAGCATAAGATGACAGTGCTGAAACAACCAAGAGAAAAAGGACAAAACAACCCGATCAGAAATCAGAGACAATCTACGAAGAATCAAAAAATGCCGAAAGGACCGCCAGGAAACTTCATACTGCTGCCGAGACGAAACGTGCAGGAGGGACACCATCAACAAAGCCACCTGATCACCATACAAACAGTGATAAACTCACATAAAAAAGACCAGACACGAAGATCGGATGAGAAGATCAAACCAACCACGTATTGGACTGGACCGATCTGCTGAAAGAGGCAGTAGATCTGTGGAAAGACCCTTGGGTTCAGACACCGAGCAAGCATCACCTGAAACCAAGGCTGGGCATGCCACCAAGAGGCCAACAGGACTACTCTCCCCAGTTATGTCCTCAAGTGAGCCAGGACCTGGAGCAACAACCGAACCAGGGTGAAGAGGTACATGTAATCCCACCTCAATCAGTCCAGTTGAAAGGTATCGACCCCAATGACTTCGCAGTCAAAGAAGGGCACCGCATACACCGGAAGATACCTCGACCAGGCCAACGCGAAGAGGTCCACCTCCAGGCACCCGAACGTCTGGCAGAGCCAACAGAATGAGTCGGCATCGACTGTCCATTCCATGGACAGTGGAATGAAATAGGACAGGCCGTCTGCCAGGATGTTGTACAATCCCTGGATATGAACCGCAAGGAGAGCCAAACCCCAAGAACTCAGCAGACAAGTCCCCGAAGTGAACAGCCCCAAAGAGCCAAGGACTGCATCGAACCCCCACGGTTCAGACAATGAACCACCGGGGAGCAGTCCGAATGGAGCTGGATCGTCGAACCACTAGCGTGCTCCCCGACCCTGGCCGGCCTGCCGAACTTGTCAAAACTTTGAACTCCGAACTTCTGGTCAAAAACCTTCAGCTGAGAGACGACTCATCCATTAACACACAGAGCAACGGCTCGGGTAAGTGCCACAGCACTGAACTCTTGTCAACTTGAGAGACAGAGAGAGAGAGAGAGAGAGAGAGAGAGAGAGATGAGTACAATCGACTTCATAATGGTCCAGGACGGACCAAAACATCGCCGTCTCTTCAATTTCTAGTGTGTACTCACCTAGTTGTGCTTGTGGGGGTTGAACTCTGGCTCTTTGGTCTGAGAGAGTGGTTTGTCTGAGAGTGTGGTTTGGTCAAGAATACAGAGAGACAAACAGAAAGATATAGACAGAGCAGATATGGGGGAGGGGAAATCAGGGGTAGAGATAGACTATCCTGGGCACTGCCAAGTACCCTCCTAGTTTCTTGCAAGAAAAAGAAGTTTCTCAACAATTACCATTAATTATAGCCTATCTATATACAGCTCCAGTGCCTTATGTAATACTTGGGAGTTATACAGTAGGGATTGACCACAACACAAGCTTTTACAGGAGGCTCAGTTACCACAAACCTTCCAGCCTTTCAAGCTCTTGACCTCCTTCCCAACTCTTTCTCTCGTATATTGTTCCACTCTTCCCTTCTAAAACACCCCCTTTCTGCATCTATTATCAAAATCCCATGAGGCCATAAAAGAATAGAATTCATTAGAAGAATAAACTTAAGAGTAACCTGGAAGTTCCTGTCATGGCCACCTCTTCAAGAAGACATTTCCAAAAGAAACAAGTTTTCAAAAGGTCTAAACTAAAAGTTACTTAAAAAGATAAAAAACTTACTAGTGAAAACCCCCTCTTTTGCCAGAGAAAGACGTATCTTGGAACATGTCTTTATTGCAGAGATGAGAATTGAATATGCTGTTCTAGTACATAGTAGGTCTTGTGTTTTCCTTAATGTTGCTCTTAGTAAGTAATCTGGTGAAAAGAAAGACAACTGTAATAATAGCCTATCCTCCAAGTATTACAATAACTGTAGTGTACTAATGGCTTTTTGAATATTTACCTAAACTTACCTGTGAACCACTAACACACTAGTGGTCTCGACAAGGACAAGAAGCCAACTGCTCGTCAAAGGTTCCCACCCATAGGTCTTTGCATTTTAAAATTTAGTAGTATTTTGGTGTTCACGGATTCAGCAGGTAGGCAGTTCCATGAGTTTATATATAACCCTATGGGTAAAAAACCAGCGTTGAATGTAATGAAACTATGTTTTGGGAGAGCCCCGGAAGTGCCCCAGAGATTCCCGGAGGCTTCCCGGAGCTTACTGGGCTGATATATATGTATTAGACTGTGGCATCAGTTGATGGAGTTCTTGCCTACCGGGGACCAAGAGCCAGAACCTGGCTCCCCTCAGAGAGGCACAAAGAGCAATGGCCTATGGAAACCCCCATGTGTTTGGAAGCATTCCATGTCAGACATCAACTGAAGTTTGGCACCCAGTAAAGCACCCAGTTTGGCATAACAAAAAACTGCAAATGGTAAAAATTGCTACCTAAAGCTGAACAGAGGCTGAACTGCCAAACTAAAACAAGCAAACGTCACTAACGTCGTCACACCGCTCATCCACGCAGCCCCCCCCCCCACCCCGAGCCGGCTGCTACAGCATTCAGTTCAGAGGCTGAGCATCAAAAAGAGCGTGAAAAACCACTGACTGGAGGGAGGGTGGGTGCTACGGCCCCTCTGGGGCTCACCCAGAAAATGGCGTTTCATTACACTCAACGCTGGTTTTTTGTGAGGAGCACCAGAGCTATCTAAACAAAGCTCAAGAGGGACTTACCCGAGAGGCGGCCACTACTCGCGTCTCAACTCGAGGTCAAGACAACTGGCTTCAACCTGCGATGCAAAGCAACACACACCCGACTAGTGCCAGGAATGTTGACTAAGGAATGTGTGGCCAAGACCCTATTCGACCTCCAAAATCCCAGCGCCTGAATGTCAGCCCAAGACATGTTACCAAAGACGGCAGCCAAAGCAGCAAACTTTCGAACGTCATGGGCATGAGGACAGACCACAGGCTGGCTAGATCAAATAACCCTGTGGACGACCTGGGAGACCCGAGCCCTGGAACAGGGAAGAAGGGAAACTGGGTCAACCCAAAGCGCATCCCCAGCCACAGAGACCGTGGCGCACAGGTAACGGCAAAGAGCCACAACCAAGCACAAAACATGATGCACACCCGGCCTGACCAATGAAGCATCAACGACCCAAGGACTCCTATGAAAGGCCGTCGACTCATTCTTCGCCAAAAAAGTAGAAGACGGTTGCAAAGGAGCAAATCTACTGCCAGGACCAAAAGAGCAGAAACCTCTGTGCCGGAGGAGAGCATGAAGTCCCCCAACCTGACCCCCAGAGGCCAATGCCAACAGGAAAAAAGAGCCTTTGCAAATCAATCTTGAACCGAAGGGGCCACAACAAACCGAGGAGAAGATAGAAAAAGACAGCACCCGGTCCAACGACCAGGACGGCTCAGGTGGCGCATGTGCAAGCTGGAGGTTAACCCTTTAGTTGCGCTAGACATCATATGATGCGTGAGTGACTTGCAGTAAATTGCGCTCCGCATCATATGATGCTTTGGAGTACTACGCAAGATTTAAACGGCCCGCGGATACACGAGGTTCACCACACCTTCATCAGGGCTCTTGTAAACAAACGCCTTTTTTTTTTTAAATCGTGGGCCAAATTCCCGGGTGTTAGGGGCCTCAGTATTGAGTGAGCTACCAACCCTGATGCACGCAGCATGAGCTCACAGCACTGCTGTTCAGCTTGTGACCACAGCATCGCCTAAAAATGCCATAATATACTTGTTCATGCTATTATGTAGCGATGATATTATTACAGAAGACCCCTGACTGTGATAAAACTGACCAGAGTTCTGATAATAGCAGGATTGTGGTGATATTTAGTGCTGTGCTCCATGGAGGGAAGAGTAATGCTGTGGGAGGGAGGGTGGTGGCGATGTCTTCTGACTGTGTATGGCCACCTTTTATTGACTGCACTCACCATACCAGCTTAGTGGTTCGCTATGGTGAACACAAATGTAGATACTTATATATAACGTGTGTATAGAGGGTATAAACAGCAATAGGAGTAGGTTGGGAGCCTACATTTTAGTGAGGGAGGTGGCGTCGTCTACACGACTTATCATGTTGTTTACTGGTGACCACTAAGGTCTTTGGGCACCATACCAGTTTACTTTTACAAGTATGGTGAATAAAACAGGTAGATACTTATATATAATGTGTGTATATAGCGTAATAACACCACAAACAGTATTGTTGGAGGAGAAATATTAGTGCATCTGGATGGAGGGATGCCAAATGGCAGTAACAAAGCCAAAACATGAAAATAGGACGTGATCAGGCAGCTCCCAGGCGGAGGAGGTGTCCAGACGTCCGCTCGTCATCAAGATTGAACCAGGAGTCCCATGAGGTGAGGTGCCACACGGGAATAACTTTGTAAATTTATTTTCATTGTTTCTTGCTTTATTTATATAGTTTTTTTGGTGCTAACAATTTGTTTTGATGTGCCAAAGATGATGTTCATTTGGTATAACTTTAAAATACACATATGTACACACATATATATGTATAAATATACGCACACCATGTATTTATTTATAATATATATACACTGCAAATATATAAGCCTAACTCTTATAATTAGACATAACACACATTTTCCCAGAAATATATAATGGTAATCACTCATTTGGTGTTGATGAAAGTTCAGTGGCTCCTAGTATGGCCGCCCTGCACTGAATGGTGATGTTGCCAGATATAGTCCTCATTTTTTACTAAGGGCCCTAGAATGAATATGAGGGAAGATTTTTTTTTTCAAAATGAGGTGTTATTGGAGGCCTGAAGAAGCAACTGTGAGCCTCGTGTATGAGTAAGACTTTTAAATTTTAGGTAGTTCCCAACTACATCATATGATGTTTATCAGTCTGAGCATATTTAGGTATCCCATCATATGATGTGATATGCAGCAGAAAGGTTAACAGCAAGGAGAGCAAGAGCGAGGAAGTAGGTGGTGACTGATACAAAGCCACACCCATCAATACTGTCATCCTCAGAGTTAACAAATTGAACAAATTTGTTGCTATTGTATTGATCGAAATGAAAATGTGTTAATGTAGTTTTGAATGATCTTGTCACTATTGGTGAGAGTGTTGGTGATCATAGTGCAAACTACATCGTTGTGGTGGACAGAACTCTCTTTGAACTGTCATATACAGCAAATATACAGCAAATCCGCTGCCACATGCTACTTAATATGAAAATAAAGCCATTGTGATATTTAGCAATTACAGAAAGCTTCATTTTATTTGAAGAGTAAAGAGGCTTAATTACCAGATAAGGAGGCAATTGTAAAAAGGTTAATGCTAAGCACATGTGCGATCTGTGTTTGTGTTTCTCCATTCTCAGATTGCTTAATTATCTCCATTTTAATTTTTTTGGGTAATTAATCACTTCTTCCCTGGAACAGGTACACCATTAAAACTCTTTCTGTTTTTATCATCCATTAATTATTATGGGTGTTTTCCTTGAGAAACTGTTGAAATAGTCCACAGAGTGCACCATGGGGCTATACTGAGTACTGTATATGAGAAAATATATTATTGCTAATAGGATAGTGTGCGTTGGAAGTATGGCATCCACAGGTTGTGCATGTGCAAATTAGTCATGTTCATTTATTACACTGGGAACAATGGGGTAGATTTGTATAACAGATTGTGATGCTAAAATGGGGGACAACTTGGGAGTCCATTCAACAAGAACTTAGTAATGTTGGTGAAAATACTCTACCTGTGATGACTGAACACACATCAGGTAAGAGATCAGTCTTGGGAATGTTCTCAACAATTGCTCTTAAAAGTTCCAGAGTCAGCTGTGTCAACTCTTTAACCTGCATCAAGCTGGCAATCGACCTGCAATTGTTACTGTGTACATCACACACTGTTTCCCGAGAATAAAAATTATAAAGTACCTGTAAAGTATAAATTATTTAGAAGATGTTGAGAGAGCTAATTTCTATCTAATTTTATACTACTATAAAATCTTTTTGATTAGCATATTATGCTACTATATATTTCAGTAACTTAAAAATCAAGATAATGTATATAAATTCTAATCAAAGCAAGTCCAATAAGAGCTCAAGGCTTACTGTGTAATATGTCTTGACAAATATACAGTAAATAAAAAATCAAGGATTAAATGTAATGAAATGCCCCTTTCTGTGCAGTCTTTTAGTAGCTTCCCTGAGCATAAGTATTGGTGTGTATGGCTAATCCTTCAGATCATACCAGACTCCTGAGAAGCCCTTTCAGGAAACCATAATCTGGTTCACTCAAAAAGCTGAGGCTAGTATGAGGGATCAATTATTATCCAAAACGCTGTCCAGAAATCTTAGACAAAAATAAAAAACCAGCGTTAAATGTAGTGAAACGCCATTTTCTGGGTGAGACCCAGAGGTTCCCCGGAGCTATCCAGGCTGCTAATATTAGACTTTGGCATCAATCAGTGTGAATAGAGTTCTTAGACCTACCAGGGACCACTAGCCAGAATTTGACCCCCCTCAGAGAGGAACAAGGAGCAATGACCTATAAAACCCCCATGTGGTTGGAAGCATTTTATGTCTGCCATCCACCAGGTCAGGCACCCAGAAAGGTAAGCATCCCAAAACAATCCCCTATTCTGGTTAAGAAATTCCTACCGAGAGCCGAACTAGGGGAAAGAACTCCCCAAACAAAAAACATGATGTCACCATGATGCCGCGCCACCATCTGTACAGCTCCCCCCCCCCCCTCCTTGGGAGAGGGGAAGAAGGAGCCCCAGACCTCTCATACTGGCTACTCAAGACCCCAGTTCTGAGGCTGGATATCAAGACGCGCGAAAAGCCACCGACCGGAGGGAGGGAGGGTTGCCAGGGAGCCTCCAGGTCTCACCCAGAAAATATCATTTCATTACATTCAATGCTGGTTTTCTAGGGGAAGCCCCATCGGCTTCCCGGAGCTACTTACCAAAAGACAAGAGGGGACTTACCCGGGAGGTGGTCGTTGCTCGCTCATCAAAGCAAAGCCGACACAACTGGCTGCAACCGCTGACCCAAAGTGACACAGGCCCAATGAGACCCTGGAACATTAACTAGGTAATGCACAGCCAGGACCCTGTTCGATCGCCAAAATCCCTGCGCCCGAATGTCAGCCCAAGACATGTTGCCAAAGACGGCAACAAGAGCAGCAAACTCACAACATCGTGGGGATGAGGATAGACCGCAGGCTGGCTGGGCCGAATAATACTGCTGACAACCCGAGAGACCCCGCACCCTGGAACAGGGAAGAGGAGACTCCGGATCAACCCAAAACAGGCCCCGGACACAAAAGCCGTGGGCGCAAATAATGGCGCAGAGCCACAATCGAAAGGCCTGGTCAACGACCGAGCTGTGGGGTCGCTGAGCCCCGGAATCACCTCAAGGTAACCTCAAGGTAAGGTAGGAATCAAGGTACTGAACCCCAAAAAACCCGAGGAGGAAGCCGATGACGCAGCAGCCAACGTAAGGCACCCAGAGGCCAAATCTGGCAATTGGGAGAGAAGCGGAAGGGAGGTCCCCCAAAGGAACCAGAACAGCCGACTAAGCCAAACCCAACCCGGCGGGTAGACAACGATGGCAAAGTTCAGGCATCTGCACAAACCCTCTAGCAGCCACCAGGTAACCCCGAGAGCCCCCCAGAAACAGGCGCAGCCAGGACCTCAGTTGAAGCAGAGACTCCGGAGTGAGAGACAAGGAAGCGGTCCGAGTGTCCCACACAAGACCCAGCCAAGTCCGAACCTGAAAGGGAACCAAATGGGACTTCCTCCAGTTCACCAAGAACTCGAACCCAGTGAGCTAGGAAAGAACCAAATTCCTGGTGAGCAGACAAGCGAACCGGCAGGGAGCCCAGACCAGCCAGTCGTTGAGGTGGGCCAGAACCCGAACCCCTAAGAGATGCAGACGGGCCACCATCGAAGACGGCACCACACATAAGGCACAGGACTGGAAATTTGGAGCCAGAGTTGCACGACCTGCCAGCCTCACATCAGCCACAGAACTGAGGTGTGGATAGCTGATGAGGGGATCTGGGGCTCCCCCTTCCCCCTCACAATGAAGGGGGGTCTGGGGCACCCACTTCCCCCCTCACAGTGAGGGGTCTGGGGCTCCCCCTTCCCCCTCCCAGGGAGGGGGGAGCTGCACAAACAGCTGCACAGTGTCTGTGCAGCTCCCCCAGGCTTGTGCAGCTCAAATGAGCAAATGAGATGTCAGGCTCATTTGCTCATTTTCAATTGGGGAGTTCTGTCCACTAGTTCGGCTTTCAGTACCAATTTCTTAACCAGAATAGGGGTTTGTTTTGGAGCGCTGACCTTTCTGGATGCCTGACCCAGTCGATGGTTGGTTGATACCTGGTTGATGGGGTTCTGGGAGTTGTTCTACTCCCCAAGCCCAGCCCAAGACCAGGCTTGACTTGAGAGAGTTTGGTTCACCAGGCTATTGCTTGGAGCGGCCCGCAGGCCCACATGCCCACCACAGCCTGGTTGGTCCGGTACTCCTTGGAGAAAACAGTCTAGTTTTCTCTTGGCAGACACAGAATGCTTCCAACCACACAGGGGGTTTCTATAGGCTATTGTTCCTCGTGCCTCTCTGAGGGGGCCAGGTTCTGGCTTGTGGTCCCCGGTAATCCTAGAATTCCATGCGCATTGACTGATGCCAGGGTTTAATAAATTCATATCAGCCCGGTTAGCTCTGGGGCTCCCCCCCCCCCCTAGAAAAACAGTTGAAATACACTATGTTATATGAGTACTATATTAGTAAGAATGCAATTTAAATTGTAAAAGCCAATAATATGCAGTGTGTTTTGGGCATAACTTAAATAAGTAGATTATTTGTAGGTTTAATGGGGTAGCATTTAATACTAAGTGAGAAATAAGTTCAAATCTAGCTAATCTACCTAGCAGTAAATAGGTACCCAGGAGTTAGTCTGCTTGTTGTAGGGGCTGAATCCTGGGTGGGGTCAGTAATTTGATCCTGAAGGGGGAGGTGGGCCTCAGTATAAACCTAACATGTACTGTATGTATAATCTGGCTTGCATATACAGACGAGGAGTCACAATAACATGGCTGAAATATGTTCACATTCACAATCACACATTGGACTTGAGAATGGTCCAGGATGAACAGAAACGTCGTCGTCCCTTCACTTTCTAGTGTGTGGTTTGGTCAATATAATCTAGCTTCCTGTCCCCCCAACACAATGATTTATTATTATCATCATCATCATCTGACCAATGGTTAGATAACTTTAAAAAATCTTATGTAAATTGAACATAGGTTGAATAATAATAATAATTTATAATAATAATTTTTATTTAGGCAAAGGTACATACATAAAGAGATTTTACAAAGTTTGTTGGCTTTATAGATAGAGCTAGTACATACAATGCCTAAAGCCACTATTACGCAAAGCGTAGATTCAGGTGATGAACATACTGTAATAACACAAATATTTAAATACAAAGTAAACAGTGATGTCACAAAATATGTACTAACCAAATGTTTACATTACAGAGATCCTCAGCCAAGTCAGAGCATTGTGCGAGAACCACCAGGAGCGTCAAAGATGGTGAAACCATTGTTGCACAGGGGGCTGGCACAACTAGATATGAAATAGTATTTTAAATGATAAAGTATTCATTAAGAAAAACACATATATATCTACATACATTATCATTTTCCAGTTTCCCACTTACAGTGGATGGGGAGGCATCATTTAGAACAAAAATTCAGACTTCAATGTAATGAAACTCTTCTTTCTGGTGGAGTTTCTTATTTTTTATAATAAAGTTAATAAAGTGCCAGTGCCACTGGCACTTTACATCCCCTCTGTTTCAGTGGCTTCTTGAGAGGCCCTCCCAGAAATAATAATAATTCATTGTGTCGGGGGACAGGAAGCCAGAGTGTATTGAATATGAATACAATATACAGAACTGGCTTTTTATCGAGCCCACCCCCCCAATGGTCGAATTACTGACCCCCACCCAGGATGCAAGCCCCACAACAAGCTGACTAACTCCTAAGTACGTACTCACTGCTAGGTGAACAGGCCCATTAGGCGATAGGAAACGCACAACCATTTCTGTTCCACCCGAAATTCTCAATTGTGATTTGAGACCGAACCTGGCGGTACTACTGGGGACCCTTCCCAAATATAGTGCTTACCTATCAGTGACTACAGGGAAATGAGATCTAGTTCTTTATGTCCCACATAGCTGTTTATACCTAATTACCTATCTTAACATTACTTTTTTTTAGTTTTCCTTAAAATTATGGGTGAAAATAGCTTCAACAATTTCCTTCAACGTATTCCATTTGGTGACCACCTATACCGGAAATGAGAACTTCCTTATATCTCTTCACTCCAACTGCATGTCCAACACACACTGATGTCTTATGTCCTACTTCTTTTTAATTTAAATAAGATTCCTTTCTCTTCTTCGTCAATTCCCCCTCAGGATCTAGTATATAGTTATTATATCCCCTCTCTTTTTTCTCTGTTCTAAAGCTATGAGGGCAAGTTCTCGCAACCTGTCCTCATAGTTGAGGCCTCACAATTCTGGTCCTTATCTAGTTGCAAACCTCTGAACTTTCTCATGTTTCTGTTTAGTGTTGAGAGTAATGAAATGCCGCATTCTAGGAGGCACCTTAGTAGCTTCCCTCTGCTTATAGCACTGGCACTCTGGACCATTATTGGTAACCAAGGCTCCTGTGACTATTTCTACCCACTGCAACCAAGTACTGTACCATTTCACATTAACTTCCCCCCCCCCATTTTTTAGTGAATCTGGATCGAGAGTGGAACAATATGATCTGAATTTTGGAAGGTATATAGTGATTTTGACTGTTGCTGCCTGTGGTGGCTAATTTATTGTGCACTCCATACTCATCCCACACACAGTAACTTACTGTGCATCTCATACTCATCCTGTGAGCAGTTGCTTAGCATGCAACCCATACTCATCCTGTGAGCATTTGCTTACTGTGCACCTCATACTCATCCTGTGAGCAGTTGCTTACTGTGCACCTCATACTCATCCTGTGAGCAGTTGCTTACTGTGCACCTCATACTCATCCTATAACAGTTGCTTACCATGCACCTCATACTCATCCTGTGAGCAGTTGCTTACCATACCTGGTTGATTACCTGGTTGATGGGGTTCTGGGAGTTCTTCTACTCCCCAAGCCCGGCCCGAGGACAGGCTCGACTTGTGAGAGTCTGGTCCACCAGGCTGTTGCTTGGAGCGGCCCGCAGGGCCACGTACCCACCACAGCCCGGCTGATCCGGAGTATGCACCTCATACTCATCCTGTGAGCAGTTGCTTATTGTGCATCTCATACTCATCCTGCGAGTAGTAGCACAAAAGGATTACAGAAGGCACAAAAGGTCTTAGACCTAACTAAGACCCAAGCCCTGGAACAGGGAACAAGGGAAACCGGATCAACTCAAAGCGCATCCCTAAACACCACAGCCACGGAACACAGGTAATGGCTAAGAGCCGCAACCGGACATAACACATGATGCACCCCCGGCTGAACCAACCAAGCATCAATAACCCAAGGACCCCTCCGGAAAGCAGCTATCATGTCCTTCGCCGGAAAAGACGGAGAAAACTGCAAATGTACAAACCTACCACCAGGACCAAAAGAGCAGAAACCCCTGCGCCGGAGGAGAGCTGGAAGCACCCCAACCTGACCCCCAATGGCCAATGCCAACACAAACAGGTCCTTGGAAAAACAATCTTGAACAGAAGGGGCCACCCTGACCAAAGACCAAGATGGCTCTAGGAGGCGCATGAGCAGGCCGGAGGTGAAACAAAGCACGAGAAAGCGAACGGAACGGGGGCGGATATGACGTCCATCCAGAACGCAAGCTGGAGAGGCTATCTTGAGGTTATCTTGAGATGATTTCGGGGCTTTTAGTGTCCCCGCAGCCCGGTCCTCGACCAGGCCTCCACCCCCAGGAAGCAGCCCACGACAGCTGACTAACACCCAGGTGCCTAATTTACTGCTAGGTAACAGGGGCATAGGGTGAAAGGAACTTTGCCCATTGTTTCTCGCCGGCGCCTGGGATCGAACCCAGGACCACAGGATCACAAGTCCCGCATGCTGTCCGTGTTATGTACTCCTAGCTGGATACGTATATAAATTTAAATAAACTTATTTTGTTCCATTATATCATTACCTGTATATGTACACATATTATATTTTTGTAAATTATCGTGTAGTGTGGCAATGTCAGTGGGGACAGGAGCGCGGTGGCTCTTCACACGTCTAATACCTGTTAGATTCGAGAAATTAGAATTGCTGGACCTGTTCAGTTATGGGAGTTCCAGATGTCACTTTTAATATTATCATATTGTGTTAATTTACTGTAATTAAGCAGGTGGCATTGTAACTTATATATTTTGGAAGTAACTATTATATTTAATTTGCATTCTTATGTGTTTTGAGAACAAGTGGTTGTTCAATTAGTTTTATATATTAAAAAGTCTTTAGTTTCCATCCCTCATCCTGGATGAGGCAGAGGGGGAGAGAATTATGGGTAATGACGGTGCGCGAGTAGTCAGTAGTTTCAAGGGACCAGAAGGAATAACATGTGGGAGATTAGTCTGTTTACTTGTTGTTGTGTCATGTAGTAGATCTTTATTCTGGGAAAGACAATATTTTGATGTTTGCTTTAATAGTGACCCTCTGTTTATATATATATATTATTGAGATGTATATTGAATATATATATATATATATATATATATTAAAATGCATACATATATTTCTTCAGTCCTAAGGGAGATATACTTTTAATTCTGTGCCTGTTATCATTCATGGGGTTACACTGGTGACCCGCTTTAGAGAACAGCAGTTGTAGTATCCTTAGACATAATTAAAGCTTGGCTGTTGTAGGGTCACGAGCCGTAACGAACGATAGGTAACAGTCCGCTCGGCCGACCGGCTCCGCCAGCGCAGCACAATACAAGGTGACAGGAAGAAGCATCAATGATGGTCCTGAAAACAAAGAAAGGACAAGACAACCCGACCCAAAAGAGAAGACAACCAACAAAGAGCAAGAAAATGGCAAAAAGAAACATAAGGAAACTTCATACGGTCGCTGAGACGAAGCTTGCAGATCGGACACCATCAACAAAGCCATCTGATCACCAAGGAGACGGTGATACACCCGCCAAAAAGACTAGACGCGAAGATCAGAGGAGAAGGCTGAACCAGCCACATACCGGACCAGTCCTACCTGCCGAAAGAGGCGGAGCTGCAAGAAACACCCCGGGTTCGGACACCAAGCAACCAGTGCCTGAAAACAAGGCTGGGCCGGCCACCAAGGGGCCACGAGTACTACTTGCCCTGGGAAGGACTCCAACTGAGCCAGAACCCGAAGCAACAGCTGGACTGGATGGAAGAGGTACAAGTAACTCCACCTCGACCAGTCCTGCCGAAAGGCATCTACCGCGAATGCCTCACAGGCAGGGAAGGGCACCACAGAGAATGGGAGACGCCAAGACCACGCCGACGCGAAGATGCCCATGTCCAAGAATCCGTACGTCCGCCAAAATCAACAAAATGAGTCGGCTTCGACCGGCCATTCTGTGAACAGAAGAATGAACCGAGATAGGCTGTCCACCAGGACGTTGGACACTGCCTGGGGCCTCGTAGCCTGGTGGATAGCGCGCAGGACTCGTAATTCTGTGGCGCGGGTTCGATTCCCGCACGAGGCAGAAACAAATGGGCAAAGTTTCTTTCACCCTGAATGCCCCTGTTACCTAGCAGTAAATAGGTACCTGGGAGTTAAGTTAGCTGTCACGGGCTGCTTCCTGGGGGTGGAGGCCTGGTCGAGGATCGGGCCGCGGGGACACTAAAAAGCCCCGAAATCATCTCAAGATAACCTCAAGAACCGCACGAAGAGCCAAACCCCGAGAAACCAGCAGACGAGTCACACGAACGGACCAACCCCAAAGAGACAAGGACCAAAGAGAACCCACGTGGTTCCGGCATAACCACCGCCGAACAGTCCAAATGAAATCGGATGGTAGAGCCCCAAGGGACCCGAACCCTCTGAAGCGCAAACCAGCCAGCTGTGAACTCCCAAACCATGCAGAGAGCCCGACAGAAGGAATGACCCCACCGTTCCAGGCCGGCCTGATGAGCACTGATCACAAAGCCCCAGCCAAGAGACGACCCGTCTGTGTAAAGGTCATCAGTAAAGGTAAGTAATAACATGTACATATTTTTGTAGTGAAGATTTGGGTGAATTAGGTATAAAATTTACTTTGAAGTGAAATTTTTGGGGAGTCAGGAACAGATTAATTCATTTCCCATCATTTCTTATGGAAAAGTTCACTTCGGTTTACTAATTTTCTGGTTACGAACCGTCTCCAGAAACGGATTAAATTCTTAAACCGAGGTATCCCTGTACAGGTAACCCCATCTCAACCAGTCCTGCCAAAAGGCGTCCACCGCAAAAGCGTCACAGTTGGGAAAGGGCATCACATATATCGGGAGATGCCTCGACCATGCCGACGCGAAGAGGTCCACCTCGGGAAGACTTTACGTCCGGTAGAGCCAACTGAAGGAGTCGGCGTCAACCATCCA